TCAACTTGCCCTCACAAATGAACGCAAATTGACATGAATTCTCCTCAGCCCACTGCATGGAAAGTAAAACTCCACAAAATCCTTTACCGAAGCTCACTGAAGTCCTTGCGTAAGATTTCCAGGGCCTTCTGCAGGAACTGCTGAATGGTGTTTCCCTTTTTCATCTACACTGAGGGAAAAGAAGAGTCAGTCGGGAACGGATTTCTCTCAGACAACCCCCACAACTAAAAACTCACGCTGTTCTCGGAGGAGTCATATCTCTTAGTTTACTTTATTTCATCCCAAAAAGAAAAACCCCTCAAGAAATCCATTTTTCATCTTCATCTCAATAAACACTTGTTCACGTAACCCTGGCTAGTCTAAGAAAAGTGACTCATCTAGGCTGCCACTTTCGTGCCTAGATGGAACGTGGAATTTGGGACATTCCAGAACTCGTCTGATACTCTAAACACTCGGCCGACCTGTGAGTAATTTCTATCACCCCCCACTCCCACGTTTATTTATATAAAAGATTTAGAAGCCTGACCTTTTACTGAAAGATTAGCCAGTGAAACCTTTACCAGATTTTCTGAGGGTGGTTTTTCTTTAGAGGTTATAGGTTAAAGGGGACAATTGTTTATATGGAGGATTTTTTAAAAAAAAAGTTTTGGTGTGAAACAAAAATGATAAAAGAAAGGTTTCTTTTCCTGGCCTGTGAGTATCTGAGGTTGTAGTATTGCTGGGTGGAAAAAAAATTGTGAGCCTGATCACTCTTTTGACAAGAGACAACTTGGAACCACATTTTAGCACAATATTATTATTATTTTTTGAATAGCTATGATGCACTGCACATCTGAGAGCTAGTTTGATCTAGTGATTGAGACTCCAGGCTAGAAAGCAGGAGACTGTGAATTTTAATCCCACTTTAGGCAGGAAAGCTGCTGGGTGATTTTGGGCCAGTCACTCTCTCTCTCTCAGCCCAACCCACCTCACAGGAATGCTATTGTGGGGAAAACAGGAAGGACTATTAAATATGTTCACCACCTATTTTATATTTTAAAATAATAAAGGCAGAAGATATATCTGTATCTATATTTCTGTTTCCTGTCCTGAACTAAGAATGGACAAAGCCGAACACTTGATGGAATGCTAAACAGCTATGGAGTAGCATTTTTGCATCAGTCATTTTAAGAAGTTGGTCCAGGACACAGAATACATAGAGATGGTCGCACAATAAAAATCAGGGTACTGTATGGAAAAAAGCCAACAACCGGAGTCCTTGTATTCTAGACCCAAGCATTAAACCACCCGTTGGGTTTTCCAAAGCTGAGGAGAGAATCCAAGGAGGCTGGAAGCGAAGCTCACCTTCACCGTTCGACGGTGCCCAGAGCCATCCCAGTAACTGAACGTGATCTCAATTTCTTCACCTGGCCAAAGACAAAGAAAGAAAATCATTAAAAGGATGGGAAACGCCTTTCTTTAAACCTAATTATGACGGGTCACCCCCCTCCGCTTGGAAGGCATGCCAGACCAGCTTCATTTCCCCATCACTCACTTTTGATTTTTTCCTGTTTGGCTTCCCACTCTTGCCGGAGCTCTTCACGCAGGCGGTTTTCTTCTTCCTGAAATCCAGGATGTGGAAAAGAAAAGGATGAAGCCATCTGTGGCCCTCCAGATTTTGGTGAAGTAGGACTCTCAGCCTCCATTACTCTTGACCGCTGTACTTTATGGGAGTTACATGATCAGCATCACCTGCAGGACAGGTATTTACCTCACGGTCACGGTCAGGGAGGAAACTAGTGTCCACGTCTGGGTTCTTCCCAAGTTTCTTCTTTTTGGGAGGCAACTCTAAGAAAAGCAGGAGAATCATGTATGAAGGAAGAGCTAACATTCTGTTGCTTGAATTCAACAGTTGCTCTCCTATGTGACCCGACAAATGCGCGCTCAACTAAAGCGTGCCGACAAAACTGTGTCATCAAAACCGCGATGTCATCAACGTGCCCACAACAGCGCGCCGACAGAAGCGCGATTTAAGTTAAGGTAAGGGTTAGGTTCAGGGTTAGTTTTAGGGTTAGTTTTAGGATTAGTTTTAGGGTTAGGTTCAGGGTTAGTTTTAGGGTTAGGTTGAGAGCGCGCTTCTGTCAGCGCACTGTTGTCGGCACACTTCAGCGCTCATTTGTCGGCGCGGTTTAGAACTCGCGCTTTTGTCATCGCGGTTTAGTCGGGCGCGGTTTAGTCGGTCGCCCTTTTGTTGGTGAACCGCTCTCCTACACTTCCCTCCCCTGCTATTGCTATCATCACACCAGGCCTACTTCAGCTTCACTTTCTGCAACGCATCCAGCCTACCGTTCCTCACCTTCTCGTTCCAATTCTGCTTCCTCATCTTCTTCCTCAGCATCATCTTCCTCCTCTTCATCCAGAGTGAAGGACAGGCTTGAGATCTTACGCTTTTGTTCCTGCTTGCGTTCCCGCTCCCGCATCCGTTCCAATTTTCTGCGAGAAGGAAATAAAAAAAATCAGTTTGGCATGGAATGTACACTTGAGGGAGCTCTTACAAGATTTCTGAGAAAGGTAGAATGTTGAAAAAACATTAAGATCACTGAAGGGGGCAGAGAATCCAAAACAAAACTGATTCAATCTCATTTCTTAGAAGGAGAAGGAAGGGAGCTTTTTTAAAAGAACTGTTATGCTATCCAAAGCAATATTATATAGTTGGTTACACTGACATTGAGGGAATAATGACTTTCAAGACCAATGGTGTCTTATCGCTACGATAGTATTCACCGAGTCACTATTTGGACAAATCATGCAATTGTTATATTCAGATGTAAGTATGTCATTCTCAAACTGTTGACATTTCCCCACATTTAGGAAATTACTGAAATGAAATAGTTTCTTATTCTATTAGTGATATTCATTAAGTTCTTAAAATAATACTTTAATAAACCAAATTACAAATGAAGGGAAACTGTACACAAAGGACTGATAAGAGTTCAAAATTATTTTTGTAATTTAAAAAGAGATGAACACTATCATGAAATGTCTCTGTGCTAAAGTTACTGAAGAGTAACCTGCGGCCTGGAGACGTTGTAGCCGATATAAGAATATCATGTTAGATAAAACAGAAGTTCTCAACATCTTCATTTTGAACTCTTGTAAAATATCCCTGGGATGTTGACAGGAAAAGCATGAAGACAAATCCATAATCTTTGTTAGTTTATCTCTTGATTGTTCTGTTACTTAATGAAATCATTTAAAAATTCATTCTAGGGTAGTTTAATTCACTAGATAATAAATTCCATAAATTTGGAGGCATGAAAATCACATTCTTTTAGATGTCCTAAACCTACTGTCCTTCATTCTTCTTAAGGGGCTCACATCTTCGCACACACACAAAATAGTTTTATCAAACAGGTAAACCGGTTCTCCCCAGATGTTTTGAGCTCCAATTACTCCAAATCCGCACACCTAATATCAAGGGATTATGTAAACTATGGTTAAAAGAGCTGAAAGATACAAGGCTCCCCATTCCCAAGTAATGGAAGCTATTCTCCAAGACCCAAGTTATTCTGCCCAGACTTTCATGCACACACTCACAAACTTACAGTTGTAATTCTTTGGACTGTTCCTTTTTGGCTAGCTGCTTCTCCCGTTCCTTTACAAGGGCCTCTTGCTTGGCCTTCATGTCATTGAGGGTCACCAAACCTATTGGAAGAAGCTGTGCTGGAAATAGGCCCAAACACTATGCAGGAGAGAAGGTAATTCACACAAGCTAAGGGATGGAGGCCAGGGCTTGGGGCCTCTTTCTAAAACATAGGTCACTCTTTAACTACATCCAGACTCACCCACGGTGCTAGATTTCAGCTCAGCTTCCACTGCATCATAATGGGCAGAGAATTTCTTATCGATGTTTGACTTCATGATGTTCTCCTGCCAGGGGCAAAGAACAGATCAGTCAGAAGAAGTAACCGTAGACCCTGATGACATTTCAGTTCCCATTTTTTGATTCAACCCAGTAAAAAACAGCAAGTATCTTAGGTAGAAAACACTGGGATTTCAATCCATTTACTGTATTTAGGCAAATTTAGGAGATTACAACCTAACCTAACCACAGAAGTCAGGATAGATTACATAATTTTTCATATGAATTTCAATTAGCAAGGTAAGTTAAAGAAACATGTTTCTTCTCATCAAGGATAAGTGTTTATGTGGGGATGGGCAAATTCTCAAGCAGAACATATGGTTGCATATTATATTAAATTGCGTGATAAAAGACCACCAACAAAGATGAGGTACTGCTTATGAAAACTGAGGAATCCTCAGGAATTACCTGGGCAATCAGGATCAGAAATATTCTATGAACAGCAGCTGTTAGTGTCAAATAGGGGATTTGTTATTGCATTTGGAAGAAACATATGTTTGGCTGAGTACACTCCAAGACAAAGCACTGGGAAAGCACTTATGCAGCAATTACACAATGAACACAAGGGAGCAATCTCAACCGAACACTGATAGAAGCAGCAGAATTATCTGTCAGTATCAATATTTGGTAAAGATTTCACAAGCTGGAATACAGCTTATTACAGTAAAAAAAGTAAAGTAAAAAAAGAGAGAATATTACAAAACAATAAACAGTCAACTAGGTTCTGAATGAATGTCAAATCTGTGAATAGCCAGTGTGAATATACTGTAGTCCTGCAAATATATCAAAGGAAATAGGTGAGGTGTTCTGAATTACTATAGTTTGCTCTCAAAAAGGCTGAAGAATTTTAGCTTTTCTGTTTATAATGAAAATTCTTTTTTGATTAGGCACTCAGAATAAAGAGATTAAAATATAAACCTCCATACCAGATTTATCTTTAAATCCCATCATACAAAAGAGGAAAGCATGTTACTTCATCCTAAGGATGACACCCACTTACAATGCTGCATGAAATAGCAACAGAACAGAGTAAGCTATACCCACACAAGTTTCAGTAAAGTCAAAAAATATTTTTAGAATAATTTTATTAAAAAATTACAATGAAGAAGATAAAAGCTAATACAAAGTAAAACATTAAATCAAAAGAAAAAAACAGAAAATGTAAAAAAGAAAAAATAGAAAGAAAAATAGACAATAGAAAAATATGAATATAATAAACAAAAGCAAAACAAATATATAAAAGTTGCTTAATCACAAGTATAAACAATTTTAATAACTTATCACTTTTTCTTAAAATACAACAAATGATCTCTTGTTCCAGCATCCCATCGCTTTATCTATAAAGCAATCCTTAAAACCTCATTATTTAATCCTGAGCAGCAAAAGTCATTCAAGGGTTACTAGAGATAACAATTCTATTTTAACTTTGATCAGATAGACCAACTCTACATTCTTTCTCTTTTGTTTTAACCATTTTGATCTTTAGTCCCTTCAAATTATATACTGCACCTTTTTGTTTTCAAGGCTTTAATGGGTATCTTTTGTAAATACAATATAGGAAAGTTATCCAGGGCCCTTTTTTTGGTTCATTATGTGTACATTCCTTTTGATTATTAAGACATCAGCCAGTTTCATTTGTATGTCCAGTGTAGTATCTTTTTCCATATCATACTTGTATCCTGTCATTTTTAACTCTACTTTTAGATCAGTCTCAGTTTTTCCAGTAAAACCTGTTTATCTTTCATAACATTTTCTAAATACAGTCTATCTATAAAGACAGATTCTCTTAAAATTAACTTCCCAATTCTTTATTCACAAATATCCTTCCCTGTTCCAATGTTCTAATATTTTATTTCTCTATTAGTAAGTCAAAAAGATTTAATTGTAATCTTTAGTTCTTTGTGGTTCTCTCTAGAGAACCTTCAAAGTTGTATCCTATTTTTTAAAGCTAATTCTAAAAAGCATTTTCCCACAGGAAAGAATTTTATAATTGATTCCTAAATCTTATTTCCAATCCAACTGAATCCTTTGTAACTTTCCAAAATCAAAGTTCTATGTACTCTTTTGCTGTTTATTCCCAAATAAATTTTAAGGTTCTTAAACTTTTGTTTAAAACTTATTTTCCTGAAGGAAACCAACCACTGCTGTAAAACTTGTTAATCCAAGGATTCCTAATTGTTAAAATGCAACTAACAAAATTTCAAAAATGGTTAAAAAAGAAAGTATGCAAACCCAGTAGGCACACCTATGGTTTGAGCAAAAAGATGGCTAATCTCTTGTTTCCCAAAGCTCTAAACCCACTGAAGACTGTCCTGAGATTTTTTTTCACGAGAATCAACTATCTGGAGCACTTGTGGGCGATCTCAAATCCACCCCTTACCAGAGAGGAATTATGAAGAGCAGGTCTACCCACTACTCTTCATTCTGCCCTGGTTGTTGGCTCTCTTTTAGCAGAGCCATCCTCAGTTTGTCATTTCTTCCCCAAAAGACCAGAAAAAAATTCTTCTACTGCATTAGGAGACTTATGTTTAATATACAAGTCACAAAATAGTAAGTTTATGTGCAAGGTAATAATAAGGATCCATTACAGGGTTTTTAAAAAATGTCTTACATCTCTCATCTTTGCTGAAAAGGAAGCAAATGTAGTCCATTCAGGAGTGCATTTGAGACAAATTTTCTCTCTCAGAAAGTCAATGAAATGACCGTGACATAACCAGAATAGTTTAAGCTTGTTCCGCTAGAGAAAAGACATCTGAAAATGGTGAATGTTTCGAGCAGATATGAATATGCTAGACATGATTTTTCAAATAAAAAAGGAAAATTACAGCAATATTCATATTCTGGAGGCTATGAGTAAAATATTCTTAAAAGATGACAAAAGATGTTTAGGAAGATAAGAAATTTCTTAAAGTGACCTTAAGACTAAACATTCAATCATAGTTGCTTCACAGAAGAATAAATAGGAAAAATCATAGGAAGAGTTTCCATTTGTAAGACAACTCGAGAAGGAAAGTGAAGTATCTGAAGAAGATATGTTCTGGAAGAAATATTGTGCTCAAATCAGAAATATAACAATCAGCTTAAACCCTGGTGTGTTGCACTCCCTGCATTAATTGGTTCCACCACAAAACCGCGGTAGACTAAAGCGCGCTCGACGAAAGCGCGTACCTGACGTCATCACAGCACGACGAAAACATCACGTTGTGAGCGGTAAAGTTAAAATTAACGCGAAAACCTTACCCTAACCCCCCCAAACCTAACCCTAACCCTAAACCTAAACCTAACCCTTCACCTAACGCTAACCCTTAACCTAACCCTAAACCTAACCCTAACGCTTAACGTAACCCTAAACCTAACCTTAACCCTTAACCTAACCCTAACCCTTACCTTTACGTGAATCGGCTTGCTTTAAAAGCGCTTTTTAAAGCGCCCTTTTTTCTCCGCGGTCGTATTTGTCGCGCTGCTGATGATGTCAGGTATGCGCTTTAATCGGGCGGGCGCGCTTTAGTGGACCGCGGTTTTGTCGTGCCACGGCATTAATTATTTGAATGTGACATTTGGTAGAATATCTACTTGTTTTTCTTCTCTTTAGCTTTTTTATTCTGCATGATGAAGCCTACACATATCATAGAAAAACTAAGCAAAAATACTAAAAAAAACCTCATTTTTTAAAACATGCACACTTTTTTAGAAATATATTCATGATTAACAGTGGAAACTTTTGTTCTTGTTTGCTTTTGACTAAGGAAAAGAACATTCTCTCCCATTCCGTCCCCTTAAAACCTCCACCTTTGCCAGAATGATTCCAAACAAACCCTTATTTCTAAGAAACAACCCTGTGTTTCTTAGCGT